AATTCCTTCTGAACCTATTTCTCTTTCTTGTCAGCAATTGTACAGTTAGCTTTAAGAAAGCACTGTAGCCAGGAGACCTAGACATCATTTATAGGGGAAAAAAAAAAAAAAAAAAAAGAAGAAAAAAAATCCAGATTCTCCATAAAAAGATAAAAAGAGTGTAAATCTTCTGATTGTGTAGACTATGTTAAAAATTTCAGATGTCTATTCATACTAATCCCATAGCTAATTCATTGAAAACATGTTGTAGTTGACTTTGTACTGAACATTTTCTGGACAGTTGGTGACCTTATATTTTGCCTGGTGACTGAAAGCACATTTATCCTCTGAATATAGACTAGCAAGTGTATTACAATGTGCACAGTCTATATTTATACTTCTCACTACAGCATACTGCTTATAGCTGCATAACTGAAGCATACAAACATAATTGTCTTCACACAATAATGCACACTATTGCTGGAGCTTTACATTTGTGGCCAAGACAGAATAAAAAAAAAAAAGAAACAAAACCAACCAATATTTAAAATGGTATTTAGCATTCTGTCCCTGATAAGGCTCTCTGTTTTGAATGTTTAATAATATGGGCTATAGAAATGTCAAAATTTTTTCTTGCCAGCTTGTTACCTCAAAAATGCTTCTGTGGCAACTTTAGGCACATTCTTAGAGAAAAAGAATGCAATATAACCAACCAGCTAGCAGCATACAATTAACATGACTCATCCCATTTAAACTGGGAAATCAGTGAGGGTTTTTTTCCCAGTAAAGGCTTTTTCTGGCTTTTACTCATGATACCTCTTGTGTCTCAGCTAGATTCTTAGGGTATTGTGTAACTAAGACAGACACTACTCATGGGCAGATGTAAAAATGCCTCATGAAATTAAGAAAATTACTTCTATAATTTTTCTTACATTACCATCAAGAAAATCAAAGAAATAAGGAAGATCTATATCCAGACCACATTTTCAAAAATGCATAGAAAGCAGAGTACAGACAGTCCTGACTGTAATGATAAAGACTCAGCTCACAAACTGAGACATCTCCAAACTGCAAAATCTTTCTTCATAATTAGTAGACATACTAAAGCACTTCTGCAGGACAGCTCTTCCCTTGGCACAGGTACTTAGTTCTTGTCACCAACTATAAGCAAGGTTCTAGTGTAATTAGCTTAGATCAAAATTAGCTACAATTTTTACAGATATATTATTTACATGTAACAGACAGACATAAAAGAAAGTGACGCTGCATAAAGCACCCACATATTTTGATGCCTGAGCATAACCATACATTTTGTTAGCATTAAAATCAGATAGCCAGAGCTGTACATTTAAAATGCAAGCCCTTTCCTTCATTAATTCTAACTTCTCTGAGCACTTTAAATATAAACTTTACATTCCTTAAATATTTTAGAACACTGTGCCGCAAAATTCTAAACTCATGTTATATTATTCTCACAGAACTCTATGAATTTATTATCATTTGGTCTACAGCATAATTTGAAAATATACCTGTTTAGCCATACATCATCCTTCTATATCATCCTCTTTCCCGAGTAGTTGTTTAGACTGTGTTGCAGAATATACCATAAAGCCAAGGATGTAAAAAAAAAATCCATTTCAACTCCATGACTCTCCCAGAACTATCTTAATTGTTGGCTAAATAGGTCTCAAAGACTAGGCCAGTACTACATTTGGCTATTTTTAAATTCCTCAATCTGAATGACTGGATGTCCATTAACAAAAGGATGTTGAGAAGAGTCTTCAGCATGACTAATGTGGAAGGTTTAACCTTATAGCCCAAGATCTGTCACCAGCTGCCTTACCTATTGTACTATTTCATCTGTTCTAATCCATAGAGTTACAGAGGATTTCCCTCACCTCCCTCAATAACTAAACTGAATCAAGTAACAAGCAAATGAATTTACTCGCTTCAGTCCTTCAGTTAATCAGTCTTTCTAAGAAGAAAATGGCTTTATCTCCACAACCATTATATCTTTTGATGCTAGTGAACACAGTTTCTTTCAACCCTAGACTGCTGAGATGTAAGGATATACATGACACGCCTCTGACTCCCTTCACAGCCCATGGAAGAAAAAAGTGGCATTTGGTTTGCTTCACCTCTCAGGCACCTATTTCAGAATGCACTTACCTCCTCAAAGTGCCTGTTCCTTAAATAAAACAAGTGCATTTACTTTAGGTGGACACAGCCTAAATTAGATAAAATTCATAGAATCATAGAGTTGTTTTGGATGAAAGAGACCTTTAAGATCTTCAAGTCCAACCATTAACCCAGGACTGCCAGGTCACCACTAAACCACTTCCCTCAGCACCACATCTACATGTCTTTTAAATACCTCCATGGACGGTAACTCCATCAGTTTCCGGAGCAGCCTCTTCCAGTGCTTTACAACCCTTTCAGTAAAGAAAATTTCCTAATATCTAACCTAAACCTCCCCTGATGCAAGTTGAGGCCATTTCCTTTTGTCCTATTGCTAGAGTAGTCATATCCTGGGTGCAATGATGAGTTTCTAGAATCTTTCTGGCTAAAAAAGTATTTTCTTGACAAGACAGTAAGACAATTTTACCATTAACTTCACAAACAAAACCTGTTTCCTTTACCAGATGAGAATGCATGAAAAATAAATGGCTATATCACTTGATTCTGCCCTCAGAACATCCAAATCCTCTCAATTTCTTACAAGATATACAACACAGGATACGCAACGTGAACGTTTTTTTTTTTTTTTTTTTTCAATAAAACAAACTAATCATGCTGCAGACTAGAAATAGATTTAATTGACATAACATTACCTTTGATTTAAACTATTCCGCACTGCATACAAATCTCATTTCCATTTGTAACAGAATGAATTACATCCACATGAAAACCAGGATAATATCCCAAAATAGTTTCAAAATTTGTGTGAAGAGAAAGATAACCAGGTCTATAACTCAGTTTCATATATTTCAATGACAAAAACAATAAAAGCAAATAATTAGGCTTTGCAAAACAGATTGTTTATACATTCACGTCTCTGATCTTTGCCCACAACTGTGAACATTTAAGTTTCAGAGAAAAGGTTGATCTTCAGTTGCAACAAACACTACAATGTAACCAGGCTTATATAGATTACTCATTCAATTCTGTTACACTGAGAAGGAGAGTTATGAAAATACCTATAGGCAAACCTTGGAATATCATGTGTTCTGTACTAACTGGAGGTGCAACACCTCACACAGTTAAACTCTCCAATTTTACATAAGGGTGAAGCACCACACACTCTCTGACGTCTGGGACTTGACTACTCCAAAGTCAGTTTGTACTGCTGCTGCTTGTACTGCCACAATATTCAAGCTGAAATTCTCAATTTGCAGAAGTCTGTATCCACTTGAGATGTAATTTTCAAGAAGATAGTGACAGAAATGTCATTACCCCACCTGTCCCTGACGGAATTAATTAGAGGTTTTAAACTCACACCAGTGGATATCCAATTACATGGGTTAAAAAAAGTCAAGAATCAATTTTCCTGAAGTGATCAGGCTGGCTGAGAGCAAACAAGCTTTTTGCCACCTTTGTAGCCCTGAGGACAGAGACAGTAATTTGTAGATCACATTCATTAGCCAAAGTAACATCACGGATTGCTGAGATCCTACATAACTGCCCAGCCAAAGGCCAACCTGAACAAGTAAGAGATCACACACCAGACTTAGCAAGAGACAGTTTGGTGCAGAATATGACTTGAGGGAGACTATAGGAATCTTATTTTGTCTTCCTCAATCACAGGTGCTATATAAATGCCCAATGTGCAGAGTACTGGTACTGCTCACATGTAAGAGAGAGAGAGATTGCTATAGATACTAAGTTGCAAACTGGTGTGCACCACTTCCAAATTTGTCACATTTGTGTGTTCAGATCGATGTATTTTTCTAGATACACTTATCTGGCACACTAATGCTTCAAATTGAGCTGTACAAGAGAAAAAGAAATGAGTTTCTTCGTTTCAAACATTCATATGGACAAGTAGGTTTTACAGGTACCTTAAATTTATTGTAAAGTTTTTGCACATAAGATTTCCCATTCTTGGTTCAAACACAAATATATTTAGAACTAAACCTGAAACAAGTAAAAGCCTCATTACTTGATAACTCACATAGCTGGAAGATAAAATTTCTCTTTGCAGTACATTCCAGTATCTGGCAACTTTAGTACACTGATTATGAGGGACACAACTGACAGTATGCTGAATATTTGCAAATTGGTGTGAGCAAGTTTCATTTTAAAAACCTTAAAAAGTTGTTCTTGCTTGGCTCTTTGTCTTACACACTATGCCTATCAAGTATCAAGTGCTACAGACCAGAGGAAAGATTCCAGTTATGACACCTAATTCAAGAAACTGGATATGCTCTCCTAGATAAAATTTAGGTCTTTATGGTATATGAAAAAAAAAAAAAACAAAACACATGCCCTGAAATATTTTTTTGTAGTATGAATTATATGGTATTATAGAAAATGTTGTGCAGTGAATCCCAAAAATTTTCAGGTCAGTTCCTGCACTTCAGATTCATAACACTTTCTGGTATCTCCTACTAAAGGAGTATCTCCTAAACTTACACTCCATTCACTCTTCTATCTACTCCAAAAGCTACCTGGCTAGTGAAGAGTTTTGACAGAGTTTTATGCAAACAGAATAAAATAAATTACTGGTTGTGTATTGAGTATAGGAAAGAGAAATACTTTTTACATGGATTCAGTCTGAAAAGCATTGTAGCACTATGTTCCAAGATTATGCTCTCTATTCCATGTGCAAGTCTGGAAATGGTGGACACATTGAAAAGGCCAGTGCTGGACTGATCAGTATTGAATAATACACATTTTCTGTAAAACACATTGATTATCTCCTTATAGTTTCTTTTTCTTCTAGTAATTCTTTGAAGTTAGAGAGTCCTATAGCAACCACCATGACCATCTTCGCAAGGTTATATTCTCCATCCCATAACCCAAGTATCAGCACAAAGTTGAAAAATAGCCACCACTTCACAATGCAAGGAAATTAAATATTAGTCACATACAACCCAGGAAAACTTTGGGGCAGCAGCCAGTATAATGATAAACTTCTAAAGCACGAGGCTGAGTGATTCTTTCTCTCCTTGACAGTGATAAGAAAAAGGAGCTTTGCTTTCTGTTCTAAGGCTGAATATATCATTATCAGATATGAACAATTTTAATGCCATTAGCATACCATTTAGAAAACATCCAGGCTACTAAAGTTTATAAAGAATATTTCTGTGAGGAAAAAGTAGCATAACATCTGAAAAGAGAACTACTTACTTCGAATTTGTCTCTTAATTTCCTTTGAAGAATCCAGCCAGTTCTGAAAACAACACAAACAACAATCAGCATTTAAAATCACTTCAGACAGAAGACGAAGTAATTTTATACAATACAGTTGGAAGTTTGTATTGTTCAGACATCTTTTCTATTTAAAATTACCCAGAGAATTCTAAAATTGAACGTGCAATTTGCTAGCAAGTCTCCCCACCCGTGCACATGAATGAAACGGTGTAATGCCACTCCCCTCATGGTTGTCTGATGGCTTTAGATTATTTATGCCCTGTAATTTAAAAAAATGGATAGTCTTACAGTGGAGATGGCCTAGCAAATTACATTTGACAAGAGCAATTTTCTCTCATACTCCTTTTATTGACGTAAGCACACTTTTCAGAAATGGCTCTGTAATCTCTACATGTTTGTGCTTACACACCCGTGTAGAGTTACTCAAGATGGGATCTCTCTTGAACTCCACAGACTTACTATTCCTATCATTTGTCTTGAGGCCTATACATTTTGGTTCTGGTAAGATTCAAAGGTGCTTGTAAAAGCTAATCAAATGTCATGCTTTCTTCTGGCCTCTCCCAAAGCGAAGTCTCCTGTGAACACGTATTATGTTAACACTGATACACTGGCAGGGTTCAAATCTCTACACTCAGCTCTATTTTAGGCAATGCAAATGAAGCCAGTTGTACATATTTGTGTCCTATCTTCAACACCAAAACATACTTAATCTGTACATATGAAATAGCTCATAGCATTTCAGTTACTACTGATATGTACAAAGAGACTTTTTTTGTGACTGATGATTATCTAAAAATATAAAATTTTGTGAAGTCAGATTAAGAAATCAGTAAGCTGTATCAATCCTGTTTGCTAATTTTACCCATCTATATTAGAAAATAGATTGAGTGACGAGAAACATAAGCCTTTTAACTGCAGTTACTGAATATTTCCATTATACAGTGTTTGAACCTTTATTTCCATGGCCAGACACACAAACAAGCACACACATGGCAGAAACACAAGCACACTACCAGCCTGCCAGCTGGACTCAGCACATTTCAAAGACAGAGATGTGTAAAGTAGAGACGAATTAGCAACTGACTTAAAGGCCACGGACAACATTTGCATTTCCCCAAACCACAGATCAGCAGATTTAAAGTCAGAAGGGACCTCAGTGTCAGCACAGAATTTGCTAAAGGCACGTGTCTACCAATGTTCCTTACCTAACCCAGCCAACCAGGGGATACTGGGTATAAAGTGACTCACCTTGCAGTCTATGGTACCAAACTCCAGATGCAACAATTGTTTCCCAATACCATACCCTCCCAGTCTTTATTACAGGTTTTTCCACTCAAAGTTAAATTTATTTCAAGGACATAAAACATGCTAGGCTACAGCGTTATGGGTCTGGATGGATTAGGAGAGTGTGGAACTGTATGTTTTTGAACTAGTGCAAATCCTTAACATAGATCACTCTGCTTGCTGTTAAAGGATGTGGCTTCTATGAATGTGATCCATACTAGTTTTAAATTACCTTGGTCCAAGTTAGTCTCATCACAAAAGCAGCATGTATGTATTAAAATTAAATGCAAAAATCCCTTTTTATGACTTTTACAGATGTAATTACCCCCCAAAATTTCACATTTCTTGCTTTAAGAAGTCTGCAACCTCTACATTTCATAGCTGCTGTAATTCTTCCAGAGATGTATAGTAACATTGTTACAAGGGAAGAGGTATAAAACAGCCCTCAAAAAAAATCTGGATACCATTTATTCTGCTTTAGTCAGAAACACTATCTGTTGGAAGAGTCTTGACATGGAAAGGCCTTGGAAGATAACATGCATCTTAAAATAATTTTAGCTGAGACTCACTTCAGCTACAGTTATCATCCTAAGTTTTCAGATTTGGCATGAATTCCGTTCCGAAATGATACACAGCTATACTCTTATAATTACAAATACAACTAGAAGTAGCATAACCTCTTAAATTTTAGATACAGTATAAATTAAATAAGGGTAGACATGGCATAACTACAGCAAAAAACCTAAAATTCCTGATTATATGTTACTTTCAGTGCTTTATATTTTCTCTCTCTAAAGCAGGAGAAAAGAATCTACAATACAGAATACACTCCAAGATAAGAAGAATAATCCTTTCTTTACAGAAGTTTTACAGTTCATTTTCTGGTTTTCCAAACCTGGAATAAGCTTACTGGGAGTGGACTTTGCAACCAACATTCATTCCTCTTCTGTCAAATAAAATCAGATGCTTATATTCCATCTACATGCATAATTACAGGGGTGGGGTTTTTCGCACATCTGTGCCTTTTACTGTGGCTAAAACAAACACTGTTGAAAGAATCTACCCTGAAATAGACTTCTTAATGCACAGTAGACAGGTCTGTCTTTCAAAACAAAAGACAAAACACACACACACATTACTTTGCTCCACTAGGCAGAAATCTATGTTTTTAATTAGTGAATGCTAAGGTTATAGATGAGTCAAAGTAATGAACTGTCAAAGAGCAATGAAGTGTTCTCTAGGAGCACAAAAGTATTTTGTACAAATCCAGAAAAGCAGCATTTCCAGCTGCTGCCCAGAACCTTTCTAACACTTCTGCAAAGCAGTTACAGTGTGAATGGAGCATTCATGAACTTTTGAGGCTGTAATGCAATGAAATCACTAACTGAACTTTAGATCAATAAATTTAACATTTGCAGAACAACAGAATAAATCATTAATGAGTAATTTGACCTACATAGTTTTTACATGTGTATTAAAGCTAACAAAAATCACTCTGATTCGAAGACACATCTCTCCCAGCTGCACAGAACATCCATAAAGAAAAGTTAATGGGACTCCTCCTCCAATGGTACCCCGCTGGTGCATTAGGGAGCAGCTCTACTTCAAGAGAGTGCCTGGCATTCAGTTTCCACACACCACAGCTGGGTCATAAATGGGTGGCTGTGATGAGTGCACAAGAATGAGAAAAACACATCATTCAGCATTTAGTACTGACCAGCCTGGACGTCAAAGATTTGTGGCATTTTAATCTGAAGATGCAACAGTCATAAGAGAAAAAAAATGCATCACAAAGAACTGGTCACTGGTATGAAAAAAGTATTCTAACATACTGCAGAGGTGAACAAAAGAGAAGGCCCTAAAACCAGCAAAAGTTCCAAGTCCCCAAGCTTTCTTTGGCAGAAACACAACTGATCAGCCCCTCCCTTCCCTTCCATCTATTAACTAAATCAAAACATAATGAGTTAAATGTTTTTTCTTTTCTTGAAAAGAATGAAAAAATTTGAGAAACTTAAAAGTCCTAAGACAGAAGCATTCCTTAAAAACATACCAAAAAAATGTATTAGTAAAAAATCACCTTAATAACAAAGAAGGGTGCTACAGTCTTACTGAGCACATTCTGTATAGCTATGCAATTTCAAACTTAGCAGCATGAAAGAAATAGCAGCTGGGGTGGGGGAAGTTCCCCAGCACACAAACAGTAATTTTGCCTTAGTAAGCCACTACAGTAGCTACCCTTCATGTTATCAGGATAGGTTTATAGTGTAACCAGTGTAAGAACTTCCAAACACGTGTTGTACAAAAGTGGTAGCTTTAAATTAGGTGACCTGAGTGACAATAGCAGCAAAACTAAGCAAGCTTATATAAATGTGCACCTTATAGTACAGACTGTCCAACCCATAAAAGACTGTAAGCACTTAGCCAAGTGACTAGCTCATGCCAAAGCCCATTAGTTTCAAATTCTTCTTTGAAAATGTGGGTAATTCCCACTCTACCTGGTAGTCTGAACTTAGAGCTGCAGCACAGGCATAGTATCATCCACATGAGAGCACCTTCCGTGCAACCTGGAGGCTTCTAACCAGGAAATGTCTAAAACACCTCTTTCACCGTTACTCAACGACGTTTAAGATCTTGTAGTTCCTGCAGGTCATGATAAATTAAGCTTAATCTTGCAATAGGAAGTAGGAGGTGGGAAATGTAGAACTGCTTGGGAAGACAACAAAACCCAGCAACTGTGTTTTTTGAGTCTTCATAACAAACTGGACCAGATTTCTTCAAATGTTTTTTAATGAAAAAACTGCTGTCCATAGTTCAGGTGACATGTGTTTTGAACACAGTGCTAGACTTAGCCTAGGCATGTAAATAACTGAACCACAGAGAGCCTATTATCTAGGCATTTCTTGCTTATTTTATGTAAATGCCTCATTTATGAGTGTTGCTACAGTACTCCTCCATAGTCAATGGATATGGAGACCAAGGATTCACTCAGGCTCAAAGGGACCTCTAGAGATAACTGGTCCAGTTGTGATTCAAGACCTTGTGTTAGATCAGGTTGCTCAGGCTCATATTCAGTGAAGTTTTGAATATCTCCAAGGACAAAGACACATGAAAAAGCAGACAGGCTCTCTTTAATGTGTGGTACTTTGTTTGACTGTTCACATGACTGAGGAATACAAAGAAATCTCTCAGTCCAACTAGAAACACATTTAAAAAAAGAAAGAAAAAAAAAAAAAAAAAAGACATAATGACACAATCCAGACTTTCTTGCTTTAACAATCCCGAATTTCAAAAGCCAAAGACTCCCTGTTTCACCTCCTAGGATCTAACCAAGTGGGCTATTTCTTTGTATAGTTCAATGATCCCAGGTTTGTTATTAGACCTTTCCTCTCTTACCAGAGATGAGACTGTTGTTCTGTGTTATTTTTCTGTCTGTAGAGCATAAGTTTCCAAGAGTGAGTAGCACAAATAAAGGGACAACAAATTATAATAACAAATACGAAATAAGATTATGTTATTACTCAGAGGATCAACTGAGACACTCTTCATGTTGACACCAAAGAAGTTCTAATTTCAAGAAATAGTTTAAAAATCAGTAACAAAAATAAAATATCCATGAAAAGACACGTCAAACTCATTTTATATATGGACATCTTTAGAACAGAGGGTTTGAGTATTTTGCTGAGTGCTGCACAGAAAGTCTTGCAGGGAAGCAAATAACAGTAGAAAACAACTGTATTTGAACGGAAGCTGCTAGAAATTCAGATTTAGTCAGACCACGAAATTAGACTTCATTTCAAACACAGTGGGATAAGAAAGATGACAGAAAAAAAGCAAAAGCTCCTAGACTAAGTGTAGTACTTATGTAATTATGTTTCCTGACACAGAGATTAGAAGCAACACAATTTTTTCCACTTCAATTTGTGACTATTAGTCTGTTTTCCTTATGAGGGAAAAGATGGCTGCAGGTTTATCTTTAGTTCATGGACAAAGTGAAAGCCAGCACATAACTAACTGTAAATGCTCAGATGCTAGGAAAACCTAAATTGTTTTTTTTGGCAATTAGTGGAATGCATGCCACCAACTGATTTTAGATTTTTCTCAGCTCAGCAATCTAGATGTGCTCGACCATGCAACATGTAAGTGCAAAAGAAGCCTGAAAGTAAGTTAACAAATACTATAAGAGATCCTTTCAAATGTAGTCATACCAAAACACCATTCATTTGTAAAATTAGCATCCAGTACTGGTGATGGGCCACCTCCAGTCTCACCTTTACAAATGCCAACATTTTCTTTAAGCTTAAACTTAATAAAAAAAGAAACTAGGCCGAAAAAGTTTAAAGTTAAAAAAAAGAAACTTTAACAAAGGCCTAATAGTTAAAGACTTAGGGGCAAGATTTTCTCCATATTCCTATTCAAAGCATTATTAAACTTACATGAGGAAATGGAGCAAAATTATGGGAAGGTCAGGTAGAAGATTAATTTTTTATTACTTATCATCAAAAGTTTTGCTTGCTTGTTTTTTAAAAAACATTTAAAATAAAGTTTCCAGAAACGTGGGGAGCTGTCAGACTGTTAAAGCAAAGATACTAGGTAAAATTTCCTATCTTCACTTGCATGGATGGCATACTGTCTTACTATACTATTTTACTGTTGTACTGTAAAGCCTAGGAAATACTCAATTAGTTTTCTCAAAAATGCAGATATTTTAAATATTCCACAGCCTTAAAAAATAAAGAGGTACTTTGCTATATATCAGCATACATGTGTCTTGCACATGTTTCAAATTTACAGTAGTCTTGAACTGACATTTTGTAAAAGTTTACTCAAAAGTTTGTAATGGTATATATTTAATACAATATACCTCACTAAACTATTGAAGTCAGTAGCAATGTAGTAAAACAAATAAAACTCTCATACAGGCTTACCTTCTGGTCTGAATTCTCATAAAACAACAGCCCAAAATAGTCCTTTTCCAGTAAATTGAGATGTTCACACACTTTATCAAACAGCACTTGGCCTTTTGCTCTTTTCTAAAATAAAATACAAAGAAAATACTGTCAGTGAACTAGTAAAAGCTTTAATTACAAGTACTGCTATCCAATGGTATTAATCAGGAAAATTTTAATATATCAATAAAACATTATAAAGATGTAGCTTATGATACACTATTCATCATATTTTGAAAGCTATACATACAGACAAAAATAAAGACATAAAAATTTTACTTGAATGCACAAGGGAAGTTCAGTACCTAATTGATTTAAATGTTTTGCACTAGTGTCACTAATAGTTCTTAGTTTGTGTGGATCTTTATTTTTAATGTAATGGAAGAGTTCCTCATGTGAGGCAACTGTTTCAGTAATCTTCTAAAAATGAATATACTTCCTACACTGCTAATTTCTCTTATCTTCTGCTTTTCTAACATTTTGGCATACATCTCAATGACTTTTATGAAGAACATGATATAAACTCTCAAGAAAAACAAAGCATGTTGCCATCTTCAAGAGACAAAAAAAGCAAGCAGATCACTAAAAGTCAGTGATCAGACTTATAGAAATAACATGCAAGTGTAAGAAGAACATAAGCAACATGTCTACCTGTTTACACTGCAAAAGCTTTGAGAGGTAGAAGCTAAGAGGGCTGCCTTCTATCTGTAGATTTATGAACTCTCTCAGTACTTAAGAAATCCATTAAATATTCAAAAATAAAAACCAATCTTAAAGAAGTTTATTCCTCCTAAAAATAATATTTGTGGAAGTCAATAACAAAGAAAAAAAAAAGAAAATTACATTTTCATTTGAGGTTAGTTTCAGTATTGTAGTCTGCTACTTTATAGGAGTAATTGAAGACTGATCAAGTAGTTATTTAAGACTGATCAGCAATTTAACACACTTTTAAAAAAGGGTGCTTGCTGTAGCTCAGTATTAATAGAGGTTAAACAAATGGCAATTAGTCCTTAAGATTTATCTGGACTTCTTGTACCTGGAACTGGGAAAGTAAACAAGGGCATCCTCTATCTCCCTAGTGCTGGTAATGAAAAGCAGGCCCAGGCCCTACTTCTGTGCACCAGGCTTTAGGGAAAAGTATTGTTTTGCTAGAGGTGGCAGCTGTCAGGAGACACAGTTTTAGACAAGATGGCTCACAACACATACACAGGGGTGAGGAAGATGAGAATTTCTTTCCACAGTTAAAATTTGAACATGAATGGCCTGAAGTCTCCCAGTTTGAACCAACCCCTTCATGACTGTTCTGCTACTTGTGGCATTTATCAATGAGGCCAAAACACGGCATTTTCAGACTCCTGGCAGCTTAAAGGAATTTTTGCATTTGCTTATGCTACAGATTTCAGAAGATACCACACAGCACTGCAATTCCACAGAAGCGCCATCAAACGCCCCTGTGTGGGCCCTGGTGACACTGCCGCCATTGTCCCCGCAGGCAGCGCCAGGGGCTCGCAGGGGCCCAGCACCCAGCACCAGGCCTGAAGGTCGGGAGGGGGGAGAAAAGAAGGTATGTGCTGAGCAAATAGCCAAGGCATTGTTATTTTGTTCCCTGAGAATCCAAAGCTTGCTTTATTCAAGATTGTGCTGTTCAGCAGACACTAAAGGCTTGAAGGTCTGAAAATTTCCAAAGAAACAGATTCAGAAAATTAGCAGTTAGCAGCACAAGCACCACAGAAAGGTAGTGAAACTTAAGAGTCACTTCTGAAATGGGGAGCTGGGAATCTTAAGTGCTTGCTATGTCCAAAAATTTACTCTTCAGAAAGACAGATGACTATTTCTCTTAAGAGCCTGAAGTAACCACTTAGCTTTCTTGACAGCCTCGCCTTCAGCTTAATTGAAAAATCAGCAATATAGAGAAGAGCTAAATTCAAAAGAGGAAAAGTATAAGTAAGAGAAAGTTTCAAGAATCTTAGCATGATTAATATAAATGATAATAGATATCACATGTCTTCCCTAAACCATTGTGCACATCAGTGGTCACACCTTAGAAAAGCAAATTCCAGGTTTACACACTTCAGTAAGGGCAATCTACAGATTAGTGCAGAAAAAACATGCTATCATTACGTCTTTATCTTTTTATAAAGTTCATAAACTGAAAGCCACAGTTAATATCAAGTCTTTGACATACAGAAACATAAAGCAGACAAAGTTACATGAACTATGTTGCAATTATGACAGTAAAATATTGTACTGTTTCTTCTTAGGAAGTCATAGTTAACATAGAACTTGGATATAGTAGTAATGTCCACTGTATCTTTAAAGATCATTTTGTACATTTCTAGCTCTTCCACATACAGAAAAATGCCACCACGCAATTGAAGGCCAAGTTATGCTAGCCTACATTCTAGACAGCAGCACGATACAAAGAAGTTATAGCATCAGAATGTGACATTTATAGAGCTCTGTTGTGGGTTCAAAAGCATAAGAAACCTCTCAGTATCAGCAGTAGTTCTCATTATAAAAACCTACTTGTAAAATTAAAAGACTCCTAGTTCATTAATTTTTTTTTTAATATTGTTATAGATTTAAAAATCTGCCAAATTAATTGATTTGCAAAATAAAGCTTTTCAAGTGCAGCTTCTTTAAAATATCTTTGGAGATAGGCTTTACTAGAGTTTAAATGTTATATGATAACATGCAATTTTTCTGGAAAACTCTATGCTTCTAGAAGAGGAATTGAAGTTACACTAAGAAGATAACTGGTGTGATCCAGTAATTTCCAAAGTTAGAAACATTTTAATAGACTAGCAGGGGACTCTAAGAATGCTGCACCATGGTTGCAGTTTAATGTTTCTCTTTAAACTGGATTCTATTTCTTCTTCTACCAGTTGGTTCAGTTGCCAAGTGATAGTCACAACCGATGTGTAAAATTATAATTGTTAACCATATATGTGTATGTATAGATACACATTTACGTATAGGTATATACATAGATATGTGCAGAGCACAGCAAACATTAGCACTGAAAACATGGAAATCTCCTCATTCCAGATTTTAATGTTGAAATGGCAGTAAAAAGCCTAAGTCCATACTCAGTCCCACAAGAAAGGAAGCACTTTTAGCTGAGCTGTACGAAGAGGCTGAGAAATGAGGCCAGGCTCACAGAGCCACTACTTGAAAACACAACAGTACTCAGAACCGGAGTATTCCGTATTGCTCCTGTTATGCTTGGTCTCCAAGGTGGCCAACCATAAATGTCTAAAGGGAAGCACACGAGCAGTGCAAGTCTACTTCTGCCTCCACGCCTGGGACCGGCCTCCCCGCTAAGGGCCCAGGGAACGTGGTGTTTCCGCTCAGCTGCAGCCTACAGTCCCTGCCCAACTGGTGTTGTTTGTAGGTAGGCCTGTCTCTGATCCCGTCTCCTGGGTGGGCCTGGGACCTGCACTGCAGAGAGTGGCTCTCCTGGGTGGACCCTTCAAATCTAGGCCATAGCTTGTCATGCAGAACTGTACGCATAACATAGCTATACTATTTCCCGTGCTCTTGTTGAGTTGATTAATGATGAGACTGTTATTTGCCTGAAGTGCCAGGGTTTTTCAGCTCCAAAAACATTTTCAAGGACACACATCACAAAGGTCACAAGTGGAAACGCAATTTTATTGATTTTATTTTTCTGAATCTGTTTAATAGCAGACGCTCCCAAGCATTCACACAATGCACTTGTGTAGCCAGGAGCAGACTGATGCATTCTTCAGTTGACCTTGGAAAAAACATCCCTTGCAGTCTGGCAAAGGCAAGTCGCAGAAGCAGGATTAAAGGCCAAATAGTCTCTGTTTCTAGAGGAATGAGAACTTTGGTACTGGTCACATACAAAAGAAGAGTAAGAGGTGTGTGGTACCCAGGGGTATTTTCAAAAGTATGCCACTTATCAATGAGAAGCATACTTTTCAGCTGCAAGAAATTGCTCTACTGTGCTTTTTGGCCAGGGATGCATGAAAAGTGCCTGCCCCATGCCTGAATTGAATGCAAGAAGAGCTGAAAGTGGCAGCTTCTGATGGTGTGGCAAGCCTGGAGCTCCTCCTAGCACAAACTGTTCAGCAAAAAGAACACCTGGGGAAAGGCAACCAAAGGAACACCAGAACTCACTCCCGCTGCAAATGTGCAATTCTAAAGACATCCAGACAGAGCCAGGGCATGAGTGGCACCTTGGAGGTTCAAGAGCAGCAGGTAAGAACCTAGCCAAAATGGCCCAGAGGAGCCCTGGTGAGGAGCTGTGCTCAGTGCTGCAGAGGCAGGCAAAAAAAAACCCTAGGACTGTTGCCAGTCTGCCCCAGGGGAAAAAGGCCTTGTGCCCTCAGCTGCAAGGCACCAGAGGCCATCTTCAGCTGTAGTGATGCTGGGGGGAAAGAAAGGGGGTTGGTTCCCTCTGCATGAACTTGGGAGAGATGTTGAGAGCATCTTCTGGCTTTGAGATGACTTCACAGAATCAAAGAATCACAGAATGTTAGGGGTTGGAAGAGACCTCCAGAGATCATCGAGTCCAACCCCCCTGCCAGAGCAGGACCATCTGCTCTAGGGCAGGGCACACAGGAACGCATCCAGACGGGTCTTAAAAGTCTCCAAGGAAGGAGACTCCACAGCCTCCCTGGGGAGCCTGTTCCAGTGCTCTGTAACCCTGACAGTAAAGAAGTTCTTCCTCATGTTGAGGTGGAACTTCCTGTGCTCCAGCTTGTGACCATTCCCCCGTGTCCTATCGTAGGGCATAAGTGAGAAGAGATTGCCCTTTCCTCCCTGACACCCAGCCCTCATATATTTATACACATTAATTAGATCCCCCCTAAGTCTTCTCTTCTCCAGACTAAACAGCCCCAGGTCTCTCAGCCTCTCCTCATACGGCAGGTGTTCCAGTCCCCCAGCCATCCTCATAGCCCTTCGCTGGATGACTTTCAGTGGTGTCTGTTGAATCTGGACCAATATTTTAAGAATATCTCAAAACTAATGTCACCCCGGTTTTCCTTTTTCTAAACAAAAGATGTCATACTTTAAACAGACCACTTAGATTTATTCAAACACTAGTCAACACATCT